ACAACAACAACTCTATGTCAGAAATAAATTGTTTTTCTTTCAGTGCTTTGATTTTTCAAATTTTATTTTTTATTAAATCTTGACATGAAAATAGTTTTCAAAGGAACACCTCATTCATTTTTATCATTGAAGAATGGGAAAGTAATAGCTACACAAAACTGTATTAGGGGAACAACTTTTCAGGAATGAAAATTATATTGAATTATATTGACTATCGAAGAATTATTGTTGTAATGTGCTGTCAAGTCAGTTCCGATCATAGCGACCCTGTATAGGGTTTCTGAGAAGCAGCTGGTGAGTTTGAACAGCCCACTTTGTGTTTCAAACTCACCTTGGGGCCAGTGCTTGTCCTACAGAGTCACACCAGGACTCCTATTAAGGAGCTCTGGTAGTTGCTAATCACATGGTCAGCAGTTCGAAAGTACCAGTCATTCCATGGGAGAAAGACAAGGCTTTCTGCTCCTGTACAGATTTACAGCCTCAAAACCATATACAGGGTAGCTATGAGTTGAAACTAACTCCATGGAATACCACCACCACCATATGCATTTAAGAAAAACATAGCCATTGCATTTCAAGAGGTTCATCCATCCAAAAAATATTTCTAGAGCTTTTTCTGTATGTCAGTACTATCTTGGAGATACAGTAAAGAACAGAGCTCTGCTCTCATTGAATTTAACTTCAGGGGATGTGTGATAGGGTCAGGCTTAAACCATATATGATTTCTATAGTTGAATTATGAAAATGTTAATGCAAAATATGTTGCCTTCACAGTCAGATATAATTACTTGTGCACAAGAAGTGGAAATGATGATAAAACAATTAGCAGCCCAACTGGAACAATTGAAAATGACTGTTAAATCAAAGATTGCTGTCCCAACTTCACAAGTCTTTGTGAGTATTTGTCATCCATTGTAATATTGTTTACTTTCTGAGTTCTATATAGTACATCAGAAGGCATTATAATTACATTTAACTGAAGAAAATATGATTTAAATTTCTTATATGTTGACCTTGTAGCTATTTTGTAGTAATAGTATTTCATAAGTAGGATGAGCAGATTTCCCTTTATAAGCAATTGCTACAAAAGGAAATGTGGCTATATAGTATGGTAAATTAATAAAAATCAACATGATTAGTGTGGCACCAGAAATAATACAGGGTGCTGTGTTGAAAATATGTTCCTAGCAGCTTGTCAGAAATTTGCTCCAGCAAGGAAATTATGACTTTTCTGAAAAGACAGGTAATGATCATTCTGTTTACCAGGCCTGCACTTAAACTTTCTGATTACCTGTAATCATTTTACAGGGAAGCCTGTCAGCCACTCCCTGAACAAAAAGGTATGAAATGTATATGCAGAACTTTGTAGACTATTTGAGACTCTGATAACTTTTTGCAATCATTCCTAATAGTTCTTTTTGGAAATCAAGAAATAAGCTGTTTTATTCATATGTAGCATCTGATTTTTGTTGTTTTTATTGTTTATTTCATTTTCTTTTTTGTTTTAACAAACAGAAACGTATGTGAATTCTCACAGTTTAGGAAGCTAGACGTCTGAATGCAGGCACTGGTTCTAGGGGAA